GACGGGAGGCCCTTGTGGCGTTGGCCCGTAGCACCGGTCCTATAGCCTATAGCCGGGTAGCTAGAGGCCCAAACCGAAACGGCACCTGTCAGTCCTAGTCTAGGTAGAGTCTAGTTCTATTAATAGATTGTCGTAGGTCTGTTGAGGACTTTTTGGCATTTTTCATTCTTCAGCGGTACTATGCGGAGCGGAGCCAAGGGAGGAAGGTGACGATTGACTTCAGGCGGCATCCTGAGTCGCTCGTCAGGGTTGACAGCCATAGCCAGACTTGCAGAGTCCGCCATAGCTGGGGCACCCTTAATTTTCAGACCACTTGTTAGGCCATTTATAACAAAACCCAAGGGTCATTGTAATCAAACTTGCCACCAATTCATAGAGTGGAGATCATACTAACTACTTACGGAAAAAAAAATGAAAAAAGAACTTTAAAACAGTGCTGGTCCCCGGATGGACCGGGGGACCTTCGACGGACCGGGATCCTACCGGTCCAACCGGGCGGTTCACTGGCCCGGCAGGCCCCCGGTTCGATTTGGCGCACTCCTTTTGTGGGGCGGTACGGGGGATTTTCGGGCGTCCCTGTCCCCGCCCAGCCTCTGGGAGGCCGCCGCCACAAGTGAAAAGAAAAAACGGGCCCTACCGGACCCTGTTTTCTTTTGAGAACGCGCGGCCAATCTCTGCCGCTGATCAGCGCAGATCGACAGTGGAGATCGACCGTGCGTTTCCAAAAAAAAAGGGGGTCTGGTAGGCCCCCGTTTTCGAATTTGAAAACGCGGTCGATCTCGACCACGGATCTGCGGATCTGCGGCCGAAATCGGCCGCATTTTGAAATGTGAATCGCAGCGTGGTTTTGTGCTGCCTCCGCCCCTCTGCCCCGCCTGCCCCATGCTACAGCAACATCACACACCGTTAATGTCGTGCCATTCAGCATGCACATGGACGTTGTGTGCTGCCACCACGCGACCAGTGCCAGCGCCCCGTCTCCAGCCCGCCATCAACCTCTGTGTGCAGCTGCTCCAGCCCGCTTTGTCGCAACAGCCCCACATAGCCGCGAAGGTAAGTCCACCAGCGCTCCTCTTCTTCTTCTTCTTCTTCTTCTTCTTCTTCTTCTTCTTCTTCTTCTTCTTCTCCTTCTCCTCCTCCTCCTCCTCCTCTTCTTCGTCTTCTTCTTCTCCTACTCCTCCTCCTCTTCTTCGTCTTCTTCTTCTCCTCCTTGTCCTCCTCTTCTTCGTCTTCTCCTCCTCCTCCTCCTCCTCCTCCTCCTCTTCTTTTTCTTCTTCTCTTCCTCCTCCTTGTCCTCGTCCTCATTTTTTTCCCTCCTCTTCTTGTCCTCCTCCTCCTCTTCTTCTTCATCTTTTCCCCTCCCCATCCTCTTCTTCTCCTCCTCCTCCTCCTCCCCCTCCGCTTCTTCTTCTTCTTCTTCCTCTTCTTTTTCTCTTCCTCCTCCTCATCCTCATCATCTGTTTCCCTCCTCCTCCTCTTCTTCTTGTTCTTCTCCTCGCCCTCTTCTTCTTCATCTTTTTCCCTCCTCCTCATCCTCATCCTCTTCTTTTTTCTCCTCCTCCTCCTCCTCCTCCTCCTCCTCTTCTTCTTCTTCTTCTTCTTCTTCTTCTTCTTCTTCTTCTTCTTTTTCTCCTCCTCCTCCTCCCCCTCCTCCTCCTCCTCCTCCTACCTCCCCGCTGAGCCCGAGCCGTAGGTAGCGAATTTTTTTTCCTTTTTTTCATCTCGGATTCTTCTTCTCCTTCTCCTCCTCCTCCTCCTCCTCCTCCTCCTCCTCCTCCTCCTACCTCCCCGCTGAGCCCGAGCCGTAGGTAGCGAATTTTTTTTCCTCTTTTTCATCTCGGATTCTTCTTCTCCTTCTCCTTCTCCTCCTCCTCCTCCTCCTCCTCCTCCTCCTCCTCACCTCCCCGTTGAGCCATAGTGTTACATGCTGAGAGCCTCCACACGGGCCCCTCACGGGACCCGAGGTTGGATAAAGGCCCCCAGGTCGCGTCACCGCAACCTGGAGGCCCTACG